TCAAGTGACTGCCCATGAGTAGTGAGCGAATGCCCAGGAGAGATGACAGCAGCAGCTTCCAGCATGGCTTCTAGAAGCTGTCTAAGACACCATGAAAAGGCCAAACCTAATAATAGGGATAGGAGAAGTCCAACTCAAAGGCACAAAAATCATAGAGGAAAACTTCCACAACCTAAAGAAGGACATGCCTATAAACATATAAGAAACTTACAGAATACCAAACAGACTGAACCTAAAAAAAAAAAGTCCCCTCAACACATAATAAAACACTAAACATACAGAATAAAGAAAGAATATTAAGTGCTGAAAAAAAAAAAAGGCCAAGTAACATAAGGCAGACCTATCAGAATCACAAAACTTCTCAATGGAAACAATGAAAGTCAGAAAGTCCTGATGCAGACACTAAGAGACCACAGATGCCAGCCCAAACTAATATACCAACAAAATTTTCAATCACCATGGACTGAGAAAAGATATTCCAAGACAAAACCAGATTTAAACAATACATATCCACAAATCCAGCCCTACAGAAAGTACTAGAAGGAACATTCCAACCCAAGAATGTTAGCTACATCCACAAAAACACAAGCAATAGATAATACCATCAAATCCCTAAGAAGAGAAACACACAAAACACCACCACCAACAAAAAATAGCAGGAACTAGCAATTACTGACCATTAATATCCAATACTATAAATGGACTCAATTTCTCTATAAAAAAGACACAAGCTAATAGATTAGATATGAAAACAGAATCCATCCTTCTGCTGCATACAAGAAACACACCTCAACCTCAAAGACAGATATTACCTTAAAGTAAAGGACAAGTTGGTGTAACTATCCTAATGTCTAACAAAATAGATTTCAAACTAAAATCAAAAGAAATGAAGATTATTTCATATTTATCACAGGAAAAATCCATCAAGATGAAGTCATTTCTGAATATATATGCTAAAAAGAAACATGTACTAAAGCTTAAATCATGCATTAAGCTCCACACACTAATAGTGAAAGGCTTCAACACCCCAATCTCACCACTGGACAAGACTGCCAGACAGAAATTTAGAGAAATAAGGGACTTACAGAGGTTATGACTCAAATGGTCATAACAGACATCTATAGAACATTCCACCCAAATACACAAGAATTCACCTTCTCAGAACCTTCTCAAAAATTGACCACATACTTGGTAACAAGGCAAACCTCAACAGATACAGTCATTAGTTTGATGTTGGTTGTTTGGTTACTGTATGTTGCCTTTATTATGTTTAGGTGTGTTATTTGTATCCCTATTCTCTCTAAGGCCTATATCATGAAGGCGTGTTGAATTTTGTCGAAGGCTTTTTCAGCATCTAGTGAGATGATCATGTGTTCCTTTTTTCTTTCAATTTGTTAATATCATGGATTACATGATGGATTTTCATATGTTGAACCATCCCTGCATCTCTGGGATGAATCCTACTTCGTCACGGTAGATGATTTTTTTAATGTGTTCTTGAATTCAATTTGCCAGGTTTTTTTGTTTTTGTTTTTGTTTTTTTGTTTTTTTTTTTTTTTGTATTTTTACATCTATGTTCATGAGGGAAACTGGTCTGTAATTCTCTTTCTTAGTTGTGTCTTTGTATGGTTTGGGTATCAGGGTAACTGTAGCCTCATAAAAAGGTGGGGGTGGGGCAGGAGTGAGGGGGCAATAAGGGGTGAGGGGAGTGAAGGGTTGGGGCAGTGAAGGGTGAGGGGTGGGTGGGGGCAGGGAGGGGTGGGGCTGGGCTGTGAGGTGTGGGGGCAGTGAGGTGAGAGGGGGCAGTAAGGAGTGTGAGGGGGGTAGTTCTAGAACTTGAAGTCAGGGTTGTGTTACTCAAGTGCTCCACCGCCATCACAGGCCTAGTTTCAGCTGACGACAGCGGTTGCCTCTTGAGGTTGATAAGAGCTTCTTTTCTGAAGACAGTGGTGGGTGTGAGGACAGCAGTGGCGCACCCGGAGTAAGGAAGACACTAATAAAAGCAAAGGCAGACACCCCTGAAATATTTTTATCTTTTACTATGAACAGCTTAGATAGAACGATGGAGAACAAGCACTAACCCAGATACTTACAGACAGCTCCAACTGGCTATATTTGTGGCGTCCACGTTGATCCCCAAATGCCTCAAGCTTTCTTGCCAGGCTATCTTTGGACCATCAGCCCACAAAAAATGACCCAGAGACTTATTACTAATTATGGAAGTTTGGCCTTTACCTTAGGCAAGTCTCAGCTAGCTCTTATAACTTAAATTAACCCATACTTTTTAAATCTATGGTTGCCTTGTGTAATTTTTGCCTTTCTTTTATCTGTATGTCTGTCTCTCTCCATGTTTTCTTGACCTCTGATGTGCACCTAGATTTGTCTCCTACTTCATCTCTGTCAAGAAGGCCTAACTATACCTCCTGCCTAGCTAGTGGCCATTCATCTCTTTATTAAACCAACCACAGTATTATATCTTCACACAGTGTACAAAAATCCCACAACATACTTGCTTAGTTTTTAAATAGTTTTTTTGTTTTGTTTTGTTTTGTTTTTTTTTTTTGCATCCTTCCTAAATCTCATTTGTCTTCTCCCCAGAGATTACCAGTATTAAGGGTCTTATGATTATTTCCAATAATGCTTCATACTCTTCCTATATAGTATCTATTACACAAAGTATATATAGCATTACTTGTGTTTTCAAGCCTTGTGGTACTGTGTCATATGAAATACTAATCCAACATGATTAGTATTACAGTTTGGGACTTTAACAAGGTTGATGGAAATATCTCCCATTGGTAGTATAATTTGCACTCTAAATTAAGCCTTCTTTTGAATGCTAGTTTCTGCATCTCTATAAATAACACTGCAGTGGGCCTTCATGTACATCTCATGAAACATGAAGACTTGGGTTTCTGTAGAGGGTTCAATGCGGAATTACTGTATTCAAGACAATTCACATCCTCAACTTTAGAAGACATTGCCAACTGATGCTACAGACAACCACAACAATGAATATTCACATGGCTCCACGTCTTTCCAGTTATAGTCTTTTGTTTTTTTGTTTTTTTTTTTTTTCTAAATACTGGTTTCACCATGTAGCCTTGGCTGGCCTGGAACTCACTATGTAGAGCAAACTGATCTCCAACTCAGAGCTCTGCCTGTGTCTGCCTCCTGGCCGCATTCACCACAATGCCTAGCTGCCAACATGATCTTAAAATAGTTAATTTTATTAAGGTTTCATTTTACACACCCCTCACTACTTGTGACATACAGAATCAATTTTCTACCCCCCCCCCCACATCTTCCTTTTGCTACCATCCTGAACCAACCTTTCATATGAAGTTTCTACAGATAGAGTCAACATGTTGCTTGCTGTTCTTTGAGATTTTTCACTTCCCAGAAATTAAAGGGTACAAGCATCCCATTGAGGAATGGCCATCCATATTGTTGCAGAATATTGGTACACTGTGAAGATGTGTCTTTGCCAACGTGCCTTCTGATTGTTTTAATAAAGAGCTGAATGGCCAATAGCTAGGCAGGAGAGGCTAGATAGGATTTCTGGGGAGAGAGAGTGGAAGAGGAGGTATCTATATACTTGGATTTCACCTGTAGACTCAGAGCAAGTCTGATGTGCCATACCAAGAAAAAGGTAAAAGCCACAGGGAAAAACATAGAGTAATAGAAGCTGGTTAATCTGAGTTATAAGAACTAGTTGGGGACACGCCTAAGCTAAAGGCCAATTTCATAATAAGAATTCTCCATGTCATTATTTGGGTGTTGGCAATCCAAAGATAGTCCAACAAGAAAGCTTACTATAGAATAGGAAGTAGGAAGAACCACCAACTCCAATGAGTTTCCTAGGACTATGCTATCACTTATGGTCCTTAAGTCATTTTCTTACTATTTTTCAGTTTTCTGGGGTTTAAAATGTAATTTTTGAGGCAGGGATTCTCTGTGTAGTAGTCCTGACTGGACTGAAGCTAAAAGATCTGCCTGCCTCTGCCTTCCAAGTGCTGGGATTAAGGTGTGATACCATGCCAGGCATAAAATGTATTTTCTTTATATCTAAGCACTATTAACTCTTTCACACTCTGGCTTTAACTGACGAGAACGTAGTATTCATTTTGTTCATGCCACACGCTTCAGGATGTTTAAAGACTAGCTACTTAATAGTTACAGAATGGATGAAAATCTGTAGTTTTACTTTTGATTTCACTTTGGAAACCACTATATAAAAGCTTGAAAGCTTTATATTTTTCTAGATATAAAACATGTTTTCGGGCTGGAGTGATGGCTCAGTGGTAAAGAACACTAGCGGGTCCTCCAGAGGTCCTGAGTTCCATTCCCAGCAACCACATGGTGGCGCTCAACCATCTACTCATTTGGTGCCCTCTGCTGTCCTGAAGGCAAACATGCAGCTAGAACACTGTATACATAATAAATACATCTTTTAAAAAATGTTTTCAAAATTACCTGAATTAACCCATATAACTATTTGCCACACCAAATCCAGTAGATTCTGTGTGACAAGTTCCAGGGACTGAGGCGGGAACTCCAAAAGGTCTCCTGGAACCGGTTGTGGAACTCTTGGCCAGAGAAAAGTATTGAGCAGTAGTTCTCATGGCAATCTCTGCTCTTCTATTCTTTTCTCATATTAACGAAATGTTCCTGAAAGCCTATGCTGACATTTTAAACAAAAGATACAAATAAGAAACCGTCCCCTGAGATGTGGTCACTGACCATGACCTTGTCTCCAGGAAAACCAGCGCTTTTCAAATCATTCACATAAGTAAAATAGTATAGATGAAAACTTTCCCAACAATAAAATTTCGTATGGCTGTACATGTAATGAGAGTGTGTGATGAGTGTAATGAGAGTAAGTTTAAACATTTGGTAAAGAAGCCAGGCGTTGGTGGCACACGCCTTTAATCCCAGCACTCGGGAGGCAGGCGCTCTTGAGTTAGACAACAAATATTGACAATAACTGACCATAAAACTTTATTAACCTGATGTTAGAAAATAGGCGCTTAGCTGTGGTTAGCCTTGAATAAATTTCTGATTTATTGTTAGCCTTGAATAAGTTGTATGTTACTGTGCCTAACAACGATGATGTCATTTGTTCTATCTGGATTTGTTTCGGTGAACACAATCTCTGAAAAGCTATTCTTTATCCTGGATAAAAAGCCTTGCTTGAAAGCTGCAAAATACTCTCAGATTCAAACTGCCTCTATGTTTGTTTCTGTCTGTCACCACCGAATCCTTACCCACCTAGTCTTCGAGAATGTCCCAGGGACCCCCATACCCAGGTGGGGTGGTTCATGACAATTATTTAGGTTTAGTATCTTTTGATGGGAACTACCCATTTCTGCTTTATGATTTTAGAGTTAATTATGGATTCTATTTCCCTTATATAAATGTAAGTGCTGAATTATTCCCAGTGAATCCTATCTTATTGGTTTAACCCACTCCATTCTCCTTAGAAACTTGGTAAAACCCCAATAATCAATTATTATTTTATTGCCTTGGTCTATATTGATTACTCACAAAGAGGATGGTAACTCCCATTTATGTTTAAAATGCTTAGGTTTTCTCAATTTTGATCAGGTGCTTCCCAAACAGGTTCAGTGAATTTTGTTCCAGCTGTGAGAAGCAAATAAGTCAATATGCTAACTATTTTGAACAATGCCTGGTGTGCACCTAATACATGTTAGGCATTCCTGTTTACAGAGTATCTGCTATAGCTGATGTCCTATGTTAAGTACTCTGCTTTCAAGTGTCTTATCTCAGTATGCATTAATTTTCAATAGATACCCTTATTTAATACATTTCCACAGTACAGTAGCCTTTAATATCCCTATTTTCAGATTAAAACCTTACAGTTTTGTTAAGTCAACTAAAATGTTCAAAGTCACACAATGCCATAGTAGTAGTAGAACTATGATTTCCCAGAATCTAAGCTCACAGTCTTAAGCAATGTCTAGTGCCTAAAGGAGATGGGTATAAAACAAAGCTGAATAGTATGTTTGGACCAGACAATGAAGAGTCTTATATACAATTTTAAAGGGTGTTGTCTAAAAACAATAACAAGCAAAAGTCAATTTTAGGTGGAGATGGTGATGCATTAATCCTTAAAAAAACAACAACAACAACAACAAAAAATCTGCTGGGTGTGGTAGCACAGAGCTGTAATATCAGTACTTGCACTTGAGAGGCAGAGACAGGAAGATGACGACTTGAGGGCATCCTTAGCTACACAGTGAGTCTACGGCCAGCATGCATTACACAAGATCCCACCTCAAAATAAAATCATTGTGAGCACATTACGGGAAAAGGATGTGAAACTAGTAATAACAGATACTGGAAAGTCCATTAGAACAGGATAGTAGTAATCTGCATTAAGGACAGAAAACACAAATCCAGAAATATTTAGGAGATGGGATTCACAGGACTTGGGCATTGCCTGGCCTGGGTGACAAGAGTGACTCCCCGGTGTGAATTCTCAGGTGATGAGCGAGATGCGCATGTTGCCTAAAGGTTTTCTCACACTTTTTACATTCATAGGGTCTCTCTCCTGTATGAATTCTCTGATGTTGGGCAAGGGATCCACAGTAACTGAAGGCCTTCCCACAAACATTACATTCGTAAGGTTTCTCTCCAGTGTGGACTCTCTGGTGTTGAATAAGGGAGGAATCATTGCTAAAAGCCTTCCCACACTTCATACATTCATAAGGTTTCTCCCCAGTGTGAACTCTTTGATGCTGAGCAAGGTAGGCAATCTGGCTAAAGGCCTTCCAACATTCCTGGCACTTGTAAGGTTTTTCTCCCGTGTGAATTCTCTGATGTTGAGCAAGGTGTGAATTTTGGCTGAAGGTCTTCCCGCATTCCTTACATTCATAGGGTCTCTCCCAGGTGTGTATTCTCTGATGCACAGTAAGGTATGAACGAAGGCTAAACGCTTTTCCACAGACTCTGCACTCATACGGTTTCTCCCCTGTGTGAACTCTCTGGTGTTGAGCAATGGATGACCTATTGCTAAATGCTTTTCCACACTTGATACACTCATAGGGTTTCTCTCCAGTATGGACTCTCTGATGCTGAGCAAGGTAGGCAAACTGGCTGAAGGCCTTCCTGCACACCTTACATTCATAAGGTTTTTCTCCAGTATGAATTCGCAAGTGTTGCACTAGATGGGCATTCTGACTGAATGCTTTCCGACATTCTGTACATTCATAAGGTTTCTCTCCAGTGTGGATCCTGTGATGCTGAACAAGATTCGATCTCTGACTGAAGGCTTTCCCGCATTCTATACACACATAGGGTTTTTCTCCAGTATGAATTCTTTGATGAAGAGTAAGGGAGGAACTCTGGCTAAAGACTTTCTCACAATCGTTGCATTTCAAAAGTTTCTTCTTTGTATAGATACCCTTGGGCTTAGCAGTCTTCAAGCTCTTCTTTGAGCTTTTCTTGTGTGTGCCTTGTTTATATGCATCCTCCTCTTTGGGAGTTGTCTGTTGTGTATGAAGCAATGTGTTCTGACAAAAACTTCCCAAGGATCTATTATCAACCAGAGCTTCAAAGGCAATGGTTTCTTCCTTGAAATATGCTTTTAGATTCTCAGATTGCCTCTCAAAATGATGCTCATAGCTCCATTCTCCCATAAAACTGGGACACTCAAGGCCAATACTTCGAAGTTCTTCTAGTATATTTCTGGGTGACTGTTCTTCATAAAGTTCCTGCTTTGGGATTAATCCTTCTGTCACATACATAGACCCCCAGTCTAAAAATAATAAGAAAAACTATCTTATTATGTATCAAGAAAATATGATCATGAAAGTATGTTTGTAAAGTGAAGTATATAAACTCAGTATCAAACTGCCTATAACTCCAGCTCCAGGGGATGCAATGTCTCTGTCCTCCTCCGGCACTGTACACACTCACACACACAAGCACACACACAAAGTTTCAAAATAAAATAACTTTAAACCCCATATGTATGATAATGGCTATTTATGTGAGCGATTCATTAACTAGAAACACATAAAATCAGGAGGGACGGAGAGAAGGAAAGAGGGAGGGAGAGAGGGAGAGGATGAGGGAGGGTGGGAGGGAAAACTGGGATCGATATGTAAAATAAAAAAATAAAAGATAAAAAGCCATACTGAAAAAAAAATTAAAAACGAACACATAAAATTTAATTCTGCATCATTTGATACTACAGTTACTTACCCATCAAAATGCTGACTCAGAAAATTGACATAAAACACTGGCTGAGGCAATGTAGGATATGGGGTTGAGAGAGGTATTTATGATGACAAAACATTAGTCCTTCATTTTTTCCTCAGTGTTTCCTGTCTGTCTGCAAATCCTTCCCACACAACAAACCTAAGCTCTTACTCTTTTGTTCCTCAAATGTTCTCTAGTTGCCTTTCTTCAAGACTGTCATCTTCCCAGCTACCCAGAATTCTCTCCCTCTCACCTTTTCTCTGAATATCCTTGATGTCAAGTTTCCTTTCCATATATGCCATCTGTAGCTATATCATACCTTTACTGCAAACCTAATCATTCCTTGACTATTTGTACACGTGTCTAATACTTTAGGACCTTGGGGTGGGGAGCGAGGTAGGAGCGGGGTTGAAAGCACCCTGTTAAAGTTTAAGTTGAGTAATGCTGGTATTGATGAGAGGAATAAGAATGAATGAGCTGACAGAGAAAGACAAGGCATTTGGAGAGACACCACCATTTCTAACTGAAGTCAATGGCTGCCGAGTTCACACTGTACAGTGGAGGAGTTCAAGGTACTGCAAAAGCTCAGAAATAACAAAACCAAGAGACATTAAGCAACTTTCCTAGAGTTTTACTACATGTAAGAATCAGGATTTGAACCTGGTACCTCATTTACTCTCAGCATGGCCGCAGAGCTCATCAAATCAGAAAAGGGCTATTTAAATACTAGACGGGGATTAGGAAAGCGAGAACAGATGAAAAGTATCATTGAGGAGGAGAAGGCAAAGCATGAGGAGAGAGTAAGGTTATCCAATGGCGGAGAATGCCCAGGAAGGTCCCAGGTTCCTTTTCGGCCCAAAACATTTGGGAACATGCCACAACAAAGACCAAGAGACACTTTTTTGAGTCAGGTTGAGCTGTCACCTTCAAAGGTCTCTGCTCATCTATTTCTTCCCCCACTCACCTGTGGACAAACTGTCTGTCAGCTCTGTCTTCACCATCCATGGCTCTTTTCCTTGTTCCAACAAGAATATCACACTTGGCTTAGAAAAGCAAAGGCCTGAAGTGGGAAAAGAGATGGCTTGGTCATGCTGAGGGCAGCCCACACCTCACATTTGGTATCAGCCACCCTGCAGGACAGGTCCCCTGCCCAGGAAGAGTTGGCTAATACAAAATAAATGCAATAGCAGTTTTGTTTCCTTTTGCTGGTTCTGTTTTTTTTCCAACTGTTTTTCTTACTGGTATTTTGCCTATTTGTTTTGATTTTCATTTTTGTGACCTTTGTTGGTGGTGGTGATAGTTTCTTGATTTGTTTGTTTCTTCTCTCTCTCCCTCTCTCTTTTGAAAGAGAGAGAATATAAGTTGAATGGGTATGGAAGAGGGAAGGATCTGGGAGGAGTTGGGGGAGGGCAAAACATGATCAAAATATATTGTATGAAAAAATGTTGATGATAAAAGAATACCTGGGACCAAGAAGATGGCTCAGTCAGTCAAGTACCCATTTAAAAAGCGTGTTGGCACACATGTGTAGTCACACTTATGAGAGACAGAGACAAGCAGATGCCTGGCCAGCATCCAGGTTCAGTGAGAGACTCCATCTCATAACGGGTAGTGCTGGCGAGATGGCCTACAAGGAGAGGCACCTGTTGAAGAAGCATGATGACCTGAGTCTGATCACTGAGATACATGTGGTAGAGAGAACTGACTCCCATGAGTTATCTTCTGATTTCCACATGCCATGCCAACACACAACATATAAATATTTTAAAAACTCTTCTATTAAAAAAAAAAAACCCTAAAAATACAGAGGATCTGAAACTTCTGGCACATGTCCATGACAGGACTATCTACTGTTAACTCCATCATGGCAGATACTCATCCAATCTTTGCAGATGCTACCAAAATATTCACAATGACAATAGCTAAGTCCCTTATGAACAGAAGTCCCACTTTGCAAGGGAAAGATACCCTTACTGTCTTAGTCGGGGTTACTATCGCTGTGATGAAACACCATGACCAAAACAACTTGGAGAGTGTGGAGGTTTGAATGAGAAGGCCCCACAGGCTCACAGATTTGAGTGCTCGGTCATCTGGGAGTGGCACTATTTGAGAGGGATTAGGAGGTGATATAGGCAGACTTCTCTTTCCTGCCGGCTGGTTCACAAATAACCACACTGAGACGTATTATTAATTGTAAATACTCAGCTGATAGCTTAGGCTTGTCTCTAGCCATCTCTTACAACTTAACTCAACCCATTTCTATTCATCTATGTGCTGCCCCATGCTTGCTTAGCTCATCTATGTACTTTCCATGTTGCTTCTTCCATGTCTGGTTGGGGATTCCTCAGACTCCATTGTCCTTCTTCCCAGCATTCTCTCTGCCCCCAAAATCCTGCCTAGCTATCGACCAATTGGATTTTTATTAACAATGAGAGCGACATATCTTCATGGTGTACAAAAGGATTATTCCGAAGCAAAGTGAGGCCTTGCTGAAGTAGGTGTGGCCTTGTTGGAGGAAGTGTGTTGTCACCTGAGTGGGCTTTGGGGTTTTAAAAGCTCAAGCCAGGCCCAGAGTCTCTCTTCCTTCCTGTTGCTGGTGGATCTGGATGTAGACTTCTCAGCTCCTTCTCCAGGACCATGTCTGCCTTGCATGCCACCAGGCTTCCTGCCATGATGTCAATGCATGCTTCCTGCCATGATGTCAGCGGACTAAACCTCTGATATTGCAAGCAATCCCCAATTAAATGCTTTCCATATAAGAGATGACAAGGACATATGTCTCCACAGCAATAGAGCATTAATTAAATGGAGAAAAAGGTTTATTGAGCTTACACTTCCACATCATAGTCCATCATCAAAGGAAGTCAGGACAGGAACTCAAGCAGGGCAGGATCCTGGAAACAGGAGCTGATGCAGAGGCCATGGAGGGGTCCTGCTGCCTGGCTTGCTTCCCATGGCTTGCTCAGCCTGCTTTCTTATTGAACCCAGGACCAGAAGCCCAGGGATGGCTCCACCCACAATGGGATGGGCCCTCCCCCATTTATCCTAATTAAGAATATGGTCTGATCTTATGGAGGCATTTTAATTGAAGTTCTCTCCTCTCAGATGACTTCAGATTGTGTCACGTGGACATAAAACTATTGAGCATACTTACCCAGAGACACCAAGATCCTGTAGTTCTCCAGCATCACATGACAGTACAAATGCCTTTGAGAAGAGTTCAGACATGCCCATTCTTCTTGGGAAAAGTCTACTGCCACATCCCTGAAGGTCACCATCTCCTGAAGTGAGGGTAATGAAAGGGAATCACTTCGACATGTCCGCCTCATCTACTCAGCACTGGGCTCTGCCTGATACGACACCCCAAATATGCCAGCCACATTCCCTCTCAGGGCCTCTGCCTTTCTCAGATTGTTCTGAACAGCTGCTATGCTATGTACTGGGAGTCTAACAGTCGTTGTATCTAGGGTAAGCATTAGAACGTGATGGTTGTTTCTCACTGTATCTAGGGTCACATCAGCCTGTAACAGGTGTTTGCTGGAGGTACTTAACTCACTGAAGTCACTGTCGAGAACAGTGATTGTTCTCTAGGATTCATAGAGCTGTCTTTCTGAGGGAGTTTTCCACCTATTGCATGACAGTGGCCACTATCCTGGCACACTTGGAGCATCTTGAATTGTTGGGTACTGCAAACATACACAATGAAGACAAGCAGTACACATTAGGGGCTATGATTATATCCTCCAGCAAACACACAGAACAGATCAAGGAGACTTTGGTGTGAGGAACTTGGTTCATACAAAAAAAAAAAAAAAAATGACCTTTGTGTAACAACCAGTGTAATATGCTTCTAGACCGCAGTTTGAGGTTCACTCCATTAGAGGATGGACATCCTTGCTGCCAGAGAACCTATATTACATTCTGGAGTGACTCTCCTTTGGTCGTCCTGTGCACCTCAGAACAACGACACTGCTACCCCACTGCTATTCCCCCAGCCATGCTTGCTGTATTTACTTATAAGTCATGTGTAGGAGTGCTTTGTCTGTCTGTCTGTCTATATATACATGCACATACATGTGTATGCAGAGTCCTCAGACCAAAAGAGTTACAGAGGGCTATAGTGGCAATGTGGTGCTGGACTGAAGTCAGTCCTCCGCAAGAGCTGCCCGTCCTCCTAACCACTAAGCCATCTCTGTAACCCCAGGTCAGAGTTGGAGTGCTGAGGTTTGACTTTGTATGTGCCAAGGAAGGCTCTTCAGTGATCCACATCCTCATGTCTGTGTGTTACTTTATTCTTGAGATAGGGTTTCCTGTATCCCAGGCTGGTCTCAAATTCTGTGGAGCTGAAGATGTCCTTGAACTCCTGATCCTCCTGGCCCCACCTCCCAAGTGCTAGGATTACAAGTGTGCACTATCTCACTTGGGTTTTGAGGTTCTGGGTTAAGCTCAGGGCTTAGTGCTGGAACTAGCTATGTAGACCAGGCTGGACTCGAACTCACAGAGATCTGCCTGCCTCTGCCTCCAGGGTGTTGGAACTAAAGGCGTGGGCCATCAACGCCCAGCTTACTGCAATTTCTTTTCCGTTTATTATATAATAAAACTCAGGGACAACTATAAGGATAAGCCTGAGAGACAAATCACAGTGACCATGACACACAGCCTCACTGTCAACTTCCAGGCTCCAAAAGGCAGATGCCACCTTCTGGCCCCGCCTCCTCTTGCCAGGAGTTCACTGGGGAACTCTCTGATCCCTTCCACCCAGCTTACTGTGAACTCTGCCTCTCGAGCCAATGCCTGACTACACAGAGCACAACACAGACAAAATTCCTGCAAGAGATCTTCATGAGTTCGAGGCCAGCCTGATCTACAGAGTGAGTTACAGGACAGCCAGGGCTACACAGGGAAACCCTGTCTCAAAAAGAAAAAAAAGAAAAAAAAAAAAGAAAAAAGAAAGAAAAGAAATGTATATGGGGCTGGGAGGTGGACCACAGTTAAGAGAATTACTATGCTCTTCCAGAGGATCCAATTTCAGTTTCCAGCATCCAGGTCAGGTGGCTCACAAGTCTCCTCTTCTGGCCTCTGTGGGCAGCGCCACACACCTGGCATATCCGCACACAGATAGAACACACATAAACTTAAAAAAAAAAAAAAACAAAAACAACCCTTTGAGGGTTCTAATTATATTTAAATTTTTCAAGGATGATAATGAGCTGAGTTGAAAGAGTTTCACGGCGGAAAGAAATTAGATGAGGTCAAATGAGACAGCCAGGGATTGGACAATTGCGAGTCCCACTGGAGGACTTTGGGATGTCACATGCTGGCCACACAAAATCATTTCAGGAGAAGGAAAATTGACACCTGCTTTCTTTGAAAGCCGGAAGGTACTTAAAGAAAGACTACACTAGCTCGTTTGACACGTGGTTTAAGAAGCCCAAGAGTCATTCTTATTTTTCTCTAGATTCTTCTCTTAAGAAATGCCAATCCCGGATAACGGAGATGGGAAAAGAACACAAGAAACTCTGTATTCAGAATTACCTACCAATTTAGGGTTTTTTGTCCTCCCGCCCTCCTGTTGCAACCAACCTTCCCTCCAATAAACAGAGCATGATGGAGACCTAGCAATTGGTTTGCATGCAATATAATCCATGCCTAAGTCATTTCCAATTTATTACTTGGGCAGCAAATACACAAAGTTTACAAATAAAGAGAAATGTGCTTGTTTAAAGATCTCGGATAATCAAGTCACTAAGATTAAAAGAAGTTGCTGAACTCGACCATCCTTCTCTCCAAGTAGAAGAGTGATTCAGAAACTTGGTAGCACACTGTCATGGCTTGGCTAGCTTGACAAGACAAGACACCTGGTGACAGTCGCAGGCAGGACCCTCACAGACTACATTGCCAGCCACTGTCACACATATGCCACAGTTAAAGGCCCTGGGCGTAAACAATATCAAATGTTCACCGTCTCCCACACCCCCAATTCTCAAACCTTCGGGTGCCACAGGCTGGCATCACTAACAACAGTCTCACGCTCTAGTCACAAAGAGGATCACGCCCGTGCACATGCGGGAAAGGTACCGGTCGTGGATTCGCTCGCACCCTGTCACAGAGGCGACGTGGTCTCGCACATCGGGTGACAGTCTCGCCGTTCCGTAGCAAACTCTGCCTTGTTCCGAGGGGCACCCTCAGGGCCTGACAATCGGTGTCCGAGAGATGCGCGCTGGCCACTCCCCGGCCCACTCCTCACCGGGCAGAACGAACTGCGACAGGATCCGGTTTCTGCCCGGAAGGCTCTGGACCCTTCTCCACACCGGCTGCCCTTAGGGCGACTGAATCTGGCCTCAGGGGAAAGGGCCGGGAAAGAAGCGCCTCAGTGGCCTGAGCTCCCGGAGGACACAAAGGGGCGACGGCCCAGCTCCCGCTGGGGCCATTGGGAAATGTAGTCCGGATAGACAGGGCAGCAGCACCATGGAGTTATGCTTGCAAAAACTGGCTCACAGGCTTTCCATGGCCAAACTACAAGTATGCAGACATCCATGCAAACAGAACACTCATGCACATAAAATGAAATGAAATATGTGTTTATTTTTAATTTGTTTGTGTTCTTGCCTGCATTTATGTATGTGCACCACCAGTAGGTCTGGTGCCAAGATAGGCCAAAAGAGGGCTCTTAATTGCTGAGCCATCTCTCTATAGATCCCTTCATAGATCTTTCTCCTGGAACCCAGATCCTCAAGCATGCCAGGCAAACACTTTGCCACTCAGCCACGACCTCTGTGTCTTTTCATTCTGACTCTATACTTTATTTGAACACATACCTTTTTTGTTTGCTTGCTTGCTTGCTTTTCGAGACAGGGTTTCTCTGTAACTTTGGAGGCTGTAACCGGGCGGTGGTGGTGAACACCTTTAATTCCAGCACTCGGGAGGTAGAGACAGGTGGATCTCTGTGAGTTCGAGTCCAGCCTGGCCTACAGAGCTAGTTCAGGACAGGCTCCAAAGCAATACAGAGAAACCCTGTCTTGAAAAATAAAAACAAACAAACAAACAGAAACTTTGGAGGCTGTGCTGGAACTAGCTCTGTAGACCAGGCTGGTCTTAGACACACAGAGATCCATCTGCCTCTGCCTTCCAAGTGCTGGGACTAAAGGTGTGCACCATCAACGCCCAGTCTGAAACATCATTAAACCTCAGGGTCTCTCAACTCCATAAACTCCATACTACAAACCCATGGTCTAGTAACACACACACACACACACACACACACACACACACACACACACACACATTCACTTAATGTAACTCCTCCTGCTTCTGCTGTAGGATGCTGAAGGAAGACCCCAGACTCAAATGGTATGCAGGAACAAAAAAGAGCGTTTATTATACCACATGTATGTGAGGTGGTTCGCCTGTACAAAATGGCCACAACCCCTGAGAGGATGTGTAGGCTCTTCTTAAGTACAGCTAAAGGGAGTTTCAGGAGCAATAGGCCATCTCAAGCTTAATTGGTTAAGTAGACATCGGTTACATGAGTATATTTTTAATAGGCTGAGGCTTAGTTTTATCATCTCTGGACTTATCTGTAAAAGTTTGAATTTGACTCAGAAGGGGACTGCTGGGTTCATCCTTGAGATACTGTGAGCCTGACTTGGATCCTCTTATTTTCTCCCTCCATCCTGAATGTAAGGATACAGTGGATAATTGGCTTTTTGTTGCAAGAGGCAGCAATGCATCCTTTTCAGACAACTGAAACCTAAATTCAGCTGGGAGTGTGGACAAGTAAATAAAGTGGGAGAGTTTAACCCATTCACTGCCAGCCACCAAAGAGTTTATGTCTCCCGGAGAACCACCCACCCGTCTCTGGGAGAGTCCGGAAAAGCCCAGTAAATAAACCAAAATAGCTGCTCCGTGGGTAAAAGGGGGAAAGTTTATTGCAAACTGCCAAAGCTGCCTCCTGGGAAAGCAAGACTTGACAGGGGAAAGGTTTTCAGAGTTAAATGGGATGGGGAGGTAGTGGGCTTGTGGGCTGAGATGGGGCTTGTGAGTAGGGGCTGAGGGAGCCTAGCACTGACCTTGGCAAGTTAAAAGACACCACAGTCATGTGTTAAAGGGAGAGTCACAAGTTCCTCTCGCTATACAAAGAATGACTCCCTTTTTAGCAAGCAGGAACTTTCATCAAGTCCCTGAGAGGGGATGGGGTTTTTTTGTCCAAATGCCAGACCTTGAGAGAAGGACGTGTTTAGAGGGCCAGATACAATAGAACTAAATAAACTCAGTTAATAACTGTTAACGTGCTTCCTGCCTAGACCAGAGTTCTTAACTCAGAGATTCTCAGATGCAGCTAGGGCCGCTTTTCCTTTGGGTGAGCGCCAAGTCTCGGGCCGCGAAGGCCTCTGGGAAATGTAGTCCGGAGCAAGAAAGCGGTGCACCCATTTGGCTTCTTCACAGTTGCAAGCTGCAGACCCAGGCAGTGAATGCCAGGCCGCGGGGAAGCCGCTGCTCCAAACCCGCCTGGGCCCGGGGCAGGCCTAAGCCGATCCTGCTGCTGGGGCGCCGCGTCCTCCCCTGGGTGCACTCCCAGCTCGCTCACCGAAAGCAAGACCCGCCCGGCGAGCCGCGGGGCCCTCTGGGAAGTGCTACCCTGCGTCTAACGGACCCAGGTTTGTGGCGCTTCTTCCCGGCCAGCCTTGGGCGCGCCGGTCGTAGCCTGCCGCCTCCCCCGTCCCGGGGTGTGAGCCTTGGGGTGTGGGATAGAGGCCGGTGCCCGGGCTCGGCGGTGAGTCCCCGGGAGGCCGCGAGCACGGAGGCCGGGACTCTTTGTGCAGGGTGGGAGCGGGGCCCTGGGGTGTGGATGGAGGGAGGCGATGCCGGAGGGAGGGTTGTGGCCTCAGCGTGATGTGGCTGTAATGTGCTTGTTGTCCTTTATGTGTCTTCACGAACATGGTTGCACAAGTGCATGACCGAGATAATGAATGAATGAGCAACTCTGGGTGGGAGTTAGGTGGGTTGGATTGCGTGTGTACATGTGTGGAGTGTGTGTTGAACGAGTGCTGCACTTAGTCTCTGATAATAATTGGAAATACATTTCATATGAAATGTTAGTCAGTAGCCCCAACGCTTGACTGTTTATTTTCGGGTATTGACAAACTTTCTTGTGTGATTCTCCTTGTCGCCCTCACTCCGTTCCTCAAATACCAAGATACAGAAAAGCCCAAAGAATAAAAATTACTCAGTTTTACTAGTCATGTGGCTACTGTTAAATTTACTTCCTTACACTCTTTGTGAATATGAACAGATGCGTTATGTGCCCGTATAAAGAGCATGGTAGTTCCAGGTTTTGGTGGCACATGCCTTTAAGAATCCCAGCAGAGGCAGGCCGATTTCTGAGTTCGAGGCCAACGTGGTCTACAAATCGAAGACTGTTGTACAGAGAAATCTTGTCTCAGGGGGAAAGAAAAGAGTATGGTGACTTAAAAAAGTAATCACATATATACAGTTCTGTAACGTATGTCTCATTTAATAGTGTATTGTTAACATGCTGACATCAACAATTACAAATGTATACTATTTAAATTTTTCTTGGTATATGTATATGCATCTGTCTCCTGAATAATTTGTGTCTTTTTAACCTCTTGAAGCTAGAAACCAAGTTTATGAAGAGCTGTTTGGCCATGCTCTAATGTGCCCCCTCCCTCCCTGGGGTGGGCTTTTAGAAGTGGAATTGATACACTTATAATCCTTATTAAAGCCTCCCTAAATCTAAACATCTGTCCCCAGTGCAAGGTTCTAACATCCTACAATATTACTAAAATAACAGATGCATCTTTATATTGAAATAGAGACACACCCTAGATAGCAATAAATACCACAAGTGATAGCAATCTTTGTTAACGTCATAGTTATAAAATAAAGTTTGGTTTGCAGTGCCTGTTACCCAAATCAAGCATTTTGTGACTTGTTTTTCTAAGGCAGTGTTCAGTTTTAAGCTTTGTTCCCAGAGTCCCTCCTCTGCTGAGCATCCTCTTATAAACTGAATATTTATTGAGTGTTAGACTCATATCAGTCACATATCCCTGCTTGGGATATAGCAGTGATCAAAAGAACCAGCCCCTCAGCTGCCGTGATGCTTACATTGCCGTGGGCCAGATAATAAACAAAGTAAGTAAATGAAATATACCAGTGCTGAGAAATATTAAGAAAAAAAAGTCAAACAGGGGAATATTTAGAACTGGAGATGGAAGAAGAGTTTTAGATGGAGTGGCCATCGAAGGGGTATTGCCTGGAGAGAGGGAGATAGGTGGGTAGGTACACTGCTGAGGGCGGACTGTTGTGTAGAGGGGAAGTGCAGCTATATAGGCTCTGAGGTTTTCATGTCTCCTCCGGCGAAAATGCTGGCGCTGGCAAAAACAGCAAGCGAAGGTGAAGACTAGTGCAAGGTTTGAGGAGGAAGCTCTGGAGGAGAGGAGAGCAGAGGAAGCTGATGATTTTGGCTTGCACCTTGAGCATCGCTTGATGGCAGCTTTGGCTGCTCTGGTGACAGTGATCAGCTGGAAAGGGAATACAGAAAGGGCAGGGGCAGGGTGAGGGAAGGAGCAGAAAGACCAGTTAGGGGACGTTGAGTAGTCTAAGGGGAATATGTTGAAGATCCAGAATGACAGTGGTCTCTCAGTACAGGGTTCAAGCAGAGCTTCGGTAATTGGCTGAAAGAATTGATGTAGAATGTAACTATAACAAGTTAGCAGGCTGGCCTCGAACTCACAGAGATCCACCTGCCTCTGCCTCCTGAATCAGTGTCACCAAGCTACCCCTTCCCCAAATGTATGTATGTGTGTCTACTTGCCTTTGTGTGCACCATGTGTATGCAGGTGCCTTCAGGGGCCAGAAGAACTAGTTAATTCCAGGTGGTGGTAGCCATCCAGTGTGGGTGCTGGGAACTGAACCTGGGTCCGGTGCAAGGGCAGCATGTGCTCTTGACCGTTGGGCCATCTCTCCAGCTAGCTTCTGGCATCTTTTCCTAAGCTCTTGCTTGTATTATCACTATATATTCATTGATTTCAACATGCTTGCTTTTCAAGTCTTTGCAATTACTTTCTAGTTGAAGTTCAAATTCCTTATCTTTGGCAACCCTTCAAGATGGCTTCTGAGCCATTTAACACGTCCCCAATAGTCTTTTATAATTCCCTGTATTTGTGTTATGACCAGCTACTCATTTTGAACATATCCTGCTCTAGGTGTGAAGTCAATATTTTCTATATAGTGCCCTGA